GCGGCCAAGAAGGCCAACAGTGTGTTGGATGAGGTTGTAGCAAGGAGGTTGTAGCAAGACAGGGTTCAGCCTCTTCTCCCAAGAAGCAATAGGACAAGAGGAAATGGCCTCAAGTTGCACCAGGGGAGGTTTAGATTGGATATTAGGAAAAATTTCTTCACCAAAAGGGTTTTCAAGCATTGGAACAGGCTGCCCAGGAGGTGGTGGAGTCACCATCCCTGGGGGTATTTAAAAGCACTACACATCTTAGGGACATGGCTTAGTGGCTGACTTGGCAGTGCGAGGTTAACGGTTGGACTCCATGATCTTAAAGGTCTTTTCCAACCTAAATGGTACTATGATCTGCACACACACATACCCCCAAAATTAAAAAGCTTGAGGTATATTACATTGCAGGATATCCAGTGTGGGCAAATGACTACCAGGGAGCAAAAGCAGCAGTTGAACACTGTTGATAGTAGCAATTTCAGTAGCTTCCTATCCCCAGCCTCTCCTGGGGGACTGCTGTCCCAGCAGCCAGGACAGCAGGAAGTTATCAAAGAACATCTTAAGAGATCAGGTGCCAGCTTAGATTAAGAACCAATTTGGGCTACCTAGAAATGTGGTTGTGTAATACTAAACATAGTACTATACTGTTGCTGGTCATCACACTGTCCAAGAATTTGTAAAGTTACACTCTAAACCCATCTCATGCTATAGTTTAAGGTCATACTTACATCAAAGCAGCCATGATAAGAATAAAGTATAATTTGTAGCATACACAAATTAAACAGTAGAAGTCCTACCTTTCCCTCCTTTACAGTGAATTGCTATGATGTTCTTTTCATCTTGACTCATCCAGTCACGGACACTGGCAGTGAATTTCAGCATGTCCCTAGATAAAGAGGAAAATTAGTGGATCAAAGGAAATGCCTATGTAGAACTATAATGATGTACATATTTCTTGTCAAGACTCACTGTAGCGCTGGGACATTGTGATCATCAATAAAGATCCTTTCCACCCTGTAGTGGAAGTACTTGGGGTCATAGCCTTTTTCACCTACAACGAAAGGTCTGAAGTTACGCCAGGGAGGGGAACAGGATCGCAACAAAGTGGCTTGTGACACACAACTGCTGCTCTGAGCATATATTACTGTTTAAAGTACAGTAGTATAAATAGACAAATCAAAGTGAGAAAACTGTGAGGTAATTTGGCTAAAACCATGCTTGCTTAGCTTCTAGTTTCACACCTCTCACTTACAAGTGAAAATTCATCTCCAGGCCTAGATGGCCATTCCTTCCCATGGGGATTATTGAGGGATCTGAAAGTTAGTGTTCTGATGTACTGTCAGGGTCAACCACAGCAACCACCACCTACAGACGAAGTGGTAAAGAGCTGCTCACACCACACTCCTCAACTGTGAGCCCTCATCCATCCCTCTGCTGGCCAGAGGGCAGTTGTACTTTTTCAGGACTTGAAGCATCAGTGCTTCTATATAATACCCTGCTTCCAGCTCTGATACTGTACTATGAGGCAGGAACCACAGGATAGTTGTTCCTGAAGTATTTTTCATTTTTTAGCCACCTCTAAACAGAAGAGCTTTTAACTATTCCTCCACCTTATTCTTCCATGCCTTCATTAAAAAAAATCTCCAACATTACCCCAAGTTTTAGCCCAGGTTTAGTTTTCCACTTTTATTTTTTTAGTAAGAGTTTTAGAACATTGAAGCAATTGTTCAGCATGCACAATAAAGTCTAAACTGCAAGCCATCAGTATTCTCCTTTGCAAGCTTCTATTTGTTAGTACAATATTAGATGCTCAAAGTCTACAGCCACATTCAGGACAGAAGGTAGTCAGAGATAGCTATGCACTTTTGACAGACTACACACCCTTGGAGGTCTGTTATTGCATGCAGCATACCTTGAGAAGGTTTTTTTCTGTTTAGCAGTATTTTAATATAGTCAGCAGCTAAACATACTTACTGCAGAGATTGTAGACTTTATAGTGGTCTGCATGTTTGGTGTCCAAAAATCTTGCAACTTCCTAAAGCAATAACAAGATAAGAGTTCAGAGTAGTTAGTGCTCTATTCTATTTCCACTGCCACCTCACCGCCACACAAATGGGGTCAGCAACTGCATTCATAAACAGCCCTTGGACAGCAGCCTTTCCAGTCCAACAGCTCAGGTTCTTGTCTGGAATAAAAGTACTACTGCAACTATCTTCCTTGCCCTATATATTTATGTTCCTGCAATATCAGGCACTATAGCTCTGAAAAGAGCATTATACAGACCTTCCAAGCATCTTTATTTAGATAATAGATAGTTCTTATCACTCACACTATTGCTAGCCTGTGACAGAACTGACTTGGTTCTCTGAAGCATTCCCAAAGAACAGTAGCAGCAGAGCACCAGTGTGTTCACACTGTGAGATACATCCCACTAGGTTTAGCTGAGACACTACAACACAAGCAGTACAGCAGTGGAGACCACCACTTTGTCATTCCAACCAACCAAGCCAGCAGGACTAGGATTGACTTATGATCGAGTCCATGTGCAAGTTAGTGGGAACTCAGAAGCGAAACAGCATTCAGAAATAGTGCACTTGGTAGATGAGAGATTTTTACCTCTATAGGGTTCCTATAGAAAGATTGCTTCCCAGAAGATGGAAATGACATTGCAATAATGCGATCTGTGGAAAAGACAGCAATCTGAAATAACAGCAGGAAGCCTCCCCACATGTAAGAGCTACATGATTGAGAGCAACATCATTATGAAATGGCTTATTCCTACCTAATTATAAGAACAATCCACCCACTTCTGAGAGGCTTTGCTCTATATTTAGCACAGCTAGAGCAAGACAATAATGCTTCCCAAAGCATCAGCTACCATTAAGTGTCAGTCTCCACAGAATCAGAAGCAAAAATACTGTAAGTCAGTTTTCTCAGCTCTGGTTCCCTCAGCCTCAGGAAATTCTCTATTATGCACAGCATGTATAACCTCTCTCCCAGAAGGCTAATCCTTGAGAATAGTGTCAGAGTCAGCATCCACATTTCAAAATCCCACAGAAAAGGAGTAGGCCAGGTTTGACTTCATACTTAAGTTTCATTAGTCTAAAACACTGCTCAAATTTCACGTCAAGCACTTATTAACTGAATAACTAGTCTTAGCACGATGTAACATGCTGCAAAGTGTCATTTGTTTCTACAAACCAGTAACATAAGTGAGATCCAGATCAAAGCCATCTTTCATATAACGCCTTTTGTTTTCAGAGACCTGCCAAAAAAAAAAAAAGAGTAGAGTTAGTCTTCCAAAGGAATGCCAAAGATCAACAAGTGTTGCCTGTTACTAGGAAACTTCAGAGTCTAGATGGTTGATTTTAAGTCATGAGTAGCAGAGCCTCATTTTGCTATAGCAAAGTTCATAGCACTAGCCAAGAGTAACACTTATTGTGTTAGCTTTTAGGTAGAAGCTCCATACAGAATTTTTACCCTGAAGTATCCAAGCAGAAAGAACACTGCAGATTCTTTGCAGACTGCAGCATGAATCTGTCATTGCTATTTGAGTGTTTTGGGGATGAGGGAAGGAAGAAGAAAGCTAAGGGCAGCATAACTAAGACTGTTTCTTCCTGAGCAAGAGGACATACTTGAAGCTTCAAGTACCACAATAACGCCCCTGATGAAAATAAGAGGTATTTACAATGGATAGGACTTCAACAGCTAGGTTGTTTGTTTTCTCCTGGAATAAACAGGAGAAGCATTAAAATTCCTATCCTCCCTCATGTGAGGGAAAACAGTCTATGTACCACAAACTAGAAATTATCAATCAAGACACTTGGTGGTGTTGCAATCACTTTGATATGCTGGCTTTCCAGGTCAAGTTGCTGCTTACTCAAGCAAAGTTAAGAATCATTAGCAATACTGAAGTGGGGAGGCAAAGCTTTGGTGGGACTCCATGTCAGGGACACTGACCAGATATGCTGCTTAGGCAATATTATCAGTTGCAGACCAATAAGCTGCAGGCAGCCTTGCTCCTCGCCATTGATGGCTGCCTGGAGAAGGAGTTGGAAACAGTAATAGCAGCCTAGATATATTAGGAGGCCAACTTACCATTCTCCTGGTCACCACTTCAAGTTGCTTCTTTTGTGAAGCCAGGCGAAATATTCTTATTAAGATGACAATTCTCAGAACTCGGAGGAGAGTAACCATTCTAGATGAGAGTCAGATCCACCATGAAAGAAAATTAATACAATTAAACTTAGATGCAAAGCTTAAAACTATTTAACAGCTGTTTCAGACACAGTTGAAAGCTTTGTTTCATATACTGAACAAGGACTTCTCAGGCTGATTTTGGAGAGAGAATACCATGCTTGAAGAATACCATGGTTTTTATTGTTGAGGTTTTTTTGGGAGTACATGTTCTGAGCAGCTGACAGAACTGGGAAACTCTCTACTTGCTTGAACAGACTTTCACAGGCACCTCTGCCCAACAAGCAACAAATTCCCTTAACACTACCTATGTTAATATCCCCACATTCTTGTTCCTTGAAGCTTGTTCAAGTATACATTTAAGTGTAAGTAGCCCCCTGAAAAACAGTTGAAAAGAGAAGCTAGACAGGCTACGTACATCATGCCTTAAGAAACCTGAGAACAGATCAGTATAAACCCTGTGTTTAATCATTCGGCAACTTGAACAGATGATTTGGTTTGAGGAACTTTGAACTGCTGTTGAACTTTGAAGCAGGAAAGATGCTTATGTGAGTGGTTCTACTGAAACAACTGAACAGGGGCAGCTGCTTTCACATACCCTTAGGGACTAGGGCAAACTAACATGCATTCCTTAAGGAGGTATGCAAGCATGTACTTTTAAGGAGCACATCCACATATTTCAGTTCTGATACACTTAGGTAAGAATCCTGGTGAATACCTACAGTAAGGGGGACAAATCTCCAGCTTAATACAGTCTGTTCTCCACTGATGGGAAGCATAAACTCAGCAAGGCAAGGTTGTCCTGAACACCTGGAGGAAAGTTTGTTTTCCCCCCCTCGGCTCCTTCCTAGCCCAGGATCACACATCTGTTTTCAAAACAGCATTCCCTTGAAACTAGCAGCCAAGGAGATAAGCTGACACTGGAGTGAAGACACCATAGCCCCTCTCCACAGCCTGAGCCACAACTGTGAGAAGCAGCTCTTCAAGCTAAAAGCAATTTGCATTCTGCCCTTTAGGAAGTTAGCCAGTTAAGCATTAGCTCCCAGACCAATACCCATCTCATTTCTCAATGTCCTTTTATAGGTCAGACTTCAAGGAACCAGGTAACTCATCCCAATGCACATCCAGCTAGACCAGATCAGAAAGAGAGACTGTACCACTCCATCAGGGCATGTTACCTCTTCAGACTGCCACTAAAATTTTAGTTTTGAGATATACACTCTCATCCACATAAGACACTCAGATTCTAATGAGATGTATCAAGTGCTTTAAGACTGCTGTTTGCTTCTTGAGGAAGGGCTAGGAGGAAAGAATCATAGAATCATAGAATCATTATTGTTGGAAGAGACCTCAAAGATCATCAAGTCCAACCGTATACCTGATGCCACCCTGTCCACTAAACCATGTCTTGAAGTGCCACATCTAAACGTTTTTTGAACATCTCCAGGGACGATGACTCCACTGCCTCCCTGGGGAGCCTGTTCCAATGCCTAAAAAGAAAAGTGATAAACTCCAGGTAGGCTGCTGGGAACTAGCTGGCTTGTGAGGACACTACTGGAGTGTTAAGCAGGAAGACCATCTCATATCGAGATTTGGTATTTGGCCAAGTCTGAGGTATCATCTGTTGCCAGGTAGTAATATTTTGGTTAGAACGGGACTGGAGAGCCCTTAACAAGAGACAGCTTACAGAGGGCCTTAAGAATCGGATGGGTGAGATGGTAGGCCCCAGCTAAGTATTTTCAGAAAGCATCACTGTGAACTCCTTTATGTGACTGAAAAGCCTATTCTAAATCCCTATCAACTTCAGCAAGTCAGAATACAAGGAACTCGCACACACCAATCCACAACAGGATGGGTCAGTGCAGGATCAGGCCTACTACTAACATAGCCTAGTAAAGATGCAATGCAGATAACACTGACAGTGTTATTTCTCCTACCTTAAACTGGATGCTGCCATAAGATGAAAGTTGCTTCAGAAAAATGTGGCCAGAGAGATGGGAAGTAATCATTAAACTCAGATTAACATTTAAGAAGACCTAGAAGGAAACAGCCTTTTATGGTTCTGAGGTTGCAAAAGCTATTCCTTTGACAGTTCTACTTTTTGAAACCTGAGTTTAGCTGGCATTTGAAAAGATGACTAGTACTTTCAGATGTTTGTTCAACTCTGGTTTCTTCAATAACTAGACTTTGAGTTGGTTTCTTGTAGGAGAACATTTCCTCCTTGTGCCCAAGCCAGTTGAATTGGGGGGGTGATTTTTTTTTTTTAAATAAGAGCTCAACTTCTTTCCCTGGTTGATGCAATTAAATGTCACTAATTCAAACACAGTGTAGATAAACTAATCAGAGTTGTAGTTCTGTCTCCATCAGGAATGGATTCCTCTCACAGGTTATCATTTGATCAAGCTATAGAAGTCAGATGGCAACGACTTGAATTAACTTATACACATAAACAGCATGTTTCCTCTCTCCAGGGTTTGGCTGAAAAATCCAACATATTACCATGGGGCTTTTGGGAAAGCAAGGTGGAAGAAACAAGACAGTGTGTCAACTCTTTCGATTTCAAGATCCATTAGATGGAGCTCCTCCCTCAGTTGTCTGTTCCGTTTGCTATTATGATCTAACTCTTCTTCCTGACCTTCTTCACACTCTCCTCTACCAGGACTGCTTCACACCTTCCTCCCCACCCCCCCAAAAAAATGCTTGAGTCAGAGCATTTGGTCACCTCACTATTCACTTTTAGTTACTCTATTTAGATCATCTCTGCCTTCAAGACAGGGACAATCTACAGTTATACAGTAGACCCAAGATGGGTGTCTTTATCATTCATTATTCTGTACCATGAAATACTATCAGAGCCATGTTCATGATCTAGTATGCACACATCTAGCTTAGATGTGCCCAAGAAAATTCTTAGAAGACTCTCAAGAAGAGAGAGCTCACATTTAACAGCTGCCATACCATTCTTACCTTGGTATCTGATCTGCTGCAGCAAGGTCTGAGAAGGAGTATGTCATGTTAATTAACAGAGTGCCCACCACTATGAATGCATCCAAAATATTCAGTTTGGACCGGAAATAGTTCCTGAAGCTGAAGCAAAGGAGACTTTTAGACAGATGTCCATATGGATAGCAAAGATTGAAATACATCTTCAGGAAGAGAATCACCTATACAGAGCTACTGCTAGAGACAAGCTCTCCTGGAGTAGTTCTTAACACTAAGCACTTAAGACTCACTAAGAAAATAATCTTACACCCAGTCTACACACAAGTCACAGCAAAGCTGATGCAGTTTCCAAGTGCTCACTTATACTAAAAAAACACTTTCCAGATTATTCTATAGAAGGGTAACATCCAATGTACACAGCCAAAAAAAGATGTGACCATTGTCTGTAACCAAAAAAATGAATCTACAGGGCATCCATGTTCATAGACCAAGCCTGAAGTATTACTTCCTTACTAGCTTGAGGACTTACCACACTGACTTAGTTTTTGCCCATGTCTTACCCTTCAACAAAGACCCTCAGGAGAACATCGATGAGAAAGAAGAGTGCTATTGCCAGGGAAACACCTTCAAGAATCTCTCTAACACCCTTCTTCTTCTCACTGATAGCCAGATCCACAACAACAACTATAATGTCCACAATGATAAGTACAACTCCAAATACTCTGCAAAAAGAAAAATACAAGTCAACTTGAGAGGTAGGAGTGAATTGTTGACATTCATTGACTGAAAAGCACAAGTCCAGCTTTTTGTTTTAAGCTGTTCCAGCAAGAGTGTGTTCTCTTATATGCAGATTGAGGCCTGCTTGTATAAGCAACTGAAAGATTCAAATTGCATTTAAGTGATCTGCAAAGAGTACATCATCCATGTGGAACTGTACATTTACCTCAGACTCAGCTGTAGTTATCAACCTATAATTCCACAGCTACTTAGAAGTGGTGCAAACCTGAATGCTTTAAGGCATACAAGTGTCAGTGCTGTCTTTCAGCCTGCTCACCTTCCCTCCCACTCATGACTTAGTGTAGTCACTTACAAATAACTGTCTTTAATGGCTTACCTTGTTCCAGCACCTCAACTGCATACAACTGACCAACTGGTTGTTCAAAGGCTGCCACAGCCTGGAGTAAGCCATTAAAAAGCTTTTCTCCAAGTCAACAACATTTACAGTTCTGACTTTCAGCTCTCCTTGAGAATGTAGTCATATCTGTTTAAGACTTCTTTCCCAGTCAAAGTACTTCCCTCAAGTCACCCTTTCTGGGGGTGACAGAGGATTCAGTACTTCCCAGAGAGAGCAGGCTGGAGTCACTGTTGTACAAGGAACTCCTCCAGTTCTTACAACAGAAATAAGGACTATTTCTACCTTGCCCACATCACTACAAGCATGAGCTTTTACCTGAATCCAAATGACATCACAAATGGGGAAATTTTTCTCCTAATTGCACTGCAAGAGAAGAGAATTGGCATCAAGATAAGTGACATTTTGCTACTGACACTAGCTACAAGAGCACTGCTACATTCTTCTGTTCACATTCTTTTGCTTTCAGAATTCTGTATAGTAGTGGTTTCTTTAAGAGGAGATTATTCAGTTGCATTCATGAAGTATATAGGTTAAGACCGTACTTGAAAGCAATACTTTGACCACTTTAGAAAACTTATTCATCAGTTACAGACCCTGGAAGTACAGCAGTACGTAATTATGCATAACACTATACAGTGTCACAATGTCAGTGACACTAGAAGTCTGGCTTAATGCACAGTTATAAGCTTTAAGAAGCAGGCTTATATAGTAGCTATTGGTCAAGAGGAAAATTAAATGATAAATATCTCTTAAGGCATCTTGTTCAAGGTATTAGCTTATTGTATCAGAGGATTTTTCTTCTAGGCCTGGAAAAAGCTGCACTCATTAATAGCTCCACTACTGTTTTGCTCTGTTCCAAGAGCACAGAAGCAAACGCCTCTTCTACCTTTAAAAGGAAATACCAGTTTGGCTTTCAGATTGAAGACTCAAGTACCTTTTAAGAAAATTTAGTTACTGAAGCCAAGTTCTTCCAATTGTGAGAGTTACATCCAGCACTGGCAGGGTTCCAGCTCCCATTTTCAGTTATGAAAGATCACTTGTTGCCCCTTCGACATGCATTAAGCCTTCTGGTTTAAAGCTAGGCTTTTGTCTCACTAGCTGAAAGTCTCTTTAGGCTACACCAAGAACTAAGGTGGAAGCAATTATCTACAAACCCCAAGTTCTGACAGTTTGAAAAACAGATTGCCAGTCTGTTAAGTAATCTTGGAATTACTTAACTACTGTAAGCACCGAGTCTTTTCTTAGACACTTAAAAGAAAACACCTTCTCCAAGTATATCACTAACAGTAGGACCTACCGAAAGGTTCTGACATACTGACAAAAAGTACCGGCAGATTCCTTTTGTATTGTTCACATATCTACCCTATCTTCCCTGTTATGTACAGTCACTACATTTCTCCTCCCCACCACCATTAGAGATGCCACTGTTACAGGAAGTCTTTGTCAGCTCAATAATGCATATTGCACCCCAGTGATCCTGTCTGAGCTACTTGTTTCCTCTAGGGTAACATGAGCATTGCATTTCACTTGGTGCATATCCTTAACACCTCAATAACTCAAGTTTAAGACAAGGCTAGATATCTTTGAAGTGATGAGGAAGCATCTTGCTGGGATTACTGAATTAACCCATACTTCTCATTATTAGGTTCATAAACTAAGGAACAAGGTCTAACCAGCAAACATCTGCATTCTTAAGCAGGAAGGAGATACTTAGGTTGTAGTACCCACTTTTCCTAGGGAAGTCAGGGATGTAATAACAAGTCCTGTCCTGGAGGCAATCTGGCACATAAGAGGTTCTCCTTGCATTTATGAGTGTCCAATATCTAAGGAATGACTGCAATAATTACACTAACAGTTTGTTGGTCTATGTCTTTGCCCAGTCAATCCTACAATGCAGATGCAGTAGGTACACCAAGACTTCAGCTTCCACAGTCTAAGGACAAGTACCTTCATTAGGTGCACTAAAGACTGAAATACATACACACCACTGCAATTTGGCCTGTCAACATCTTAAATCAGTGGAAGAGAATGTGGCACACTTGCTTACATACTTAGCTTAAAGCCTTTGTGAAATGCATTTGTAAAGGCCAACTGCTGAATTCCAGAAAGACGTGTCACATAGAAGACCTGAGATAACAAGCTTAGCCTTACTGTTCCTGAGCTGCAGGAACAGAGAAACAAATCTATTCTCTTGTCATTGACCTGACTGGGTATGGTATAAGAGTTAGTAATCTGGTGACAAGAACTAAACACTGTTAGAAGAATAACTACTTCAAGAAGAGTTAATCACTAGCAAGTACAGACGATTTAGTCTTGATGAGGGCGTGATGCTTATCATTTGCGCCAGATACTCATTCATCTAATTTTCTCACCAGCATTTGTTCCTCTGTGTCCTCCCAAACTCATTCCTTTGGGAAAATTTAATCAATGCAGTTTGGACTGCCCATTCTCCATAATATGGCTGACCAGTAGCTAGTTCTTGGGTTGAGCTTTCATCTCTAGAGGCATGAAAAAGCTTCCTGGACTTACTGGTCTTTATTATGTATTAGAACAGATGTCAATTTCAAGTGATCAACTGGGCTTATCTCTACTTCAGCAAGCCACCTGCCTTCTTATTTTGGTTCGTTTCCACTTTTAGGGGTAAACAAGGCATTTAGTATATTATTAGCTTACTTGGAACAGCTGTCTGGTTCATTATCCTCATTACGACCATCATCAATCTTTACTGTGGGCTCTTCGGCTGCTGGCGAGCTGGCAAAGGAATAACACAAGTCACATACTGATACAGATGTCAACTTTATACATCACTACCCTTCATTGGTCCAAAGAATATTAACTGTCACCTGAGCAGTGAGCAGCAGCCTGGTCCAGAACACAGGCATAGTACCGGGGAAGAAAAGCTTCCCCTATATCAGCACCGCAGAACTCCTTGACCTGTACTGACCTAGTTCCCACTAGCAATCCATCTCTCAAAAGCTTCTCTTTTGGGAGAGGAAGGGAACAGGTGTATTCAGCAATAGGATAAAGGGCTTTGAAGTAGAGCATCCAAGAGTCTGCCAAGGACTTAACAGTCCAGACTCTAGAAATGCTGGAAACATGCATATGCAAAATTGCTTCATAGAGTCCAAGTGACATTAATGCTATTACAGTAAACTACTTGTTCACAGAATGAATGTTTTCACCAGGAAAAGCCACAGCACAGAGATGTTTTTGTGCAGAGCAGGATACCAGACCGGAAACTGGAAGATCAGAGCGGCAGCAGCTGAGCTAGTGCTAGAACAGCATTTTTTGGGGGTAGTGGCTGCTTGCCATAACTTCCTTAAAAGGGTCTCTTTAGATCAAGTTTTTGTTCAGCCACCTGAGAAGCTTTGAAGGCCACATGATGACTTCAGAGAAAATAAAGTGTAACATCCAAATCCAGGAATTTCCAATTCAGCCTTCTCCACACAAACGCTGTGCTGCATAACAGCACAGCCACAGTGTTTGCTGTGGCGCTGGCATCATTGCTTCTTAGGCAGGAGCAATTACATACACATACTCAATATTGATGTTTCCATGCTGTTCTGAGGCAATCTAGCATGTTTGAAGCATTAGTGTAACAACTCAGAGGATCCAAGTATTCTTCATCTTCTGCAGTGCAGCCATGCACCAGCACTGCTTCTGCAGTGTGGGCTAACCCCCTTTTAACCAAAATGTTCAATGATGCATTTCCTACATACAGTTTCAGCAACGAGTACTGATGGTTCACCACCTGCACTCAGTATCAGGCTGAGTAGAGAACTAATTCTCCCCCAGCAATTCTGGTGTTTAAGGCTAATTTTCCAGCTCCAGTGTCTCCAGACACAAGTATCCTCATTTTGTTCCTAGAACTGAAGCAAAGCTCTAGCAATATATGGCCATTCAGCTTTGCTTCCCAGCTGTTCTTATGGGATATTCACTTGAGAGTTTCCATTTAATGCACAGCTGAAACGCTTCACTCATTAAAGCAGGTTGCTGCTGCTACAGCAGTTTTGCTGCAGGTCACTCTTATACTTGTAGACACATGAAGTGCACCAAATGCCACCTTCTTATCCTCTACTGTGATTAAAATAAGCCAAAATAAGAATAAGCAACATTAGTGTTTTGGGTTAGGAAGCCAATCTTTACACAAAAAGAAAACAGAAGCTAAGTCCAAGTACACTGTTTCCACTGTGCTCTCACACAAAAATTCCATTCTAGATAATGCTTTCCTCAGAGGGAGTTTGTTTTGTCGAGCACTCCACATCTACTAGCTGTCCAAGCTGGAACAAGCTGTCTTCCACAAGCTACTACATCTAGTCTTTGACTGCTGCAGTAGAAGAGAAGGAAATGAGGATATACTAGAAGAACCTATTTCCTTCTCACACACACTGTCCATAGAAAACATTAGCTGTGAGCAGTCAGAAAAGCTTAAGGGAACTTCAGACTTAAAAGGAGAACAGAGCAAAAGCATCTTGCTCCACAAGAGACCTTGACAGTGCTTCTAGGTGCTAGAAGAGTGTGGACTTTAATGCCATGAGCTTAGTATACCAGGGCTGGGTGCTCTGTACTTCTTAGTTCTTAACTACTTGCAAGAAGTCAATCACAACACCATATTTCTCTCAAAGATATCACTCCTCTCAGACAACAGCATTTGAGGAGGGAGGGAATACAAAGACTACATGCTATACAAACATCAAGCACTCCATTATTCTCTCTGTTATATTTAAAGCACTAAGAAACTCTAGACAGGGGACCACACACAACATACTTCAATCCCACACACATACACTGGTGCAGTTCATTTCACTCACCTGGACGTTTCTGTCAGCTCTGCCCCTTGTTCGTATCTCACAGTTGTCATTTTGCCTGTTGTTGCTTGGCTGGTCTTAAGAGAAGCACATCTAGTTATAGAGATATTAGTACAATAAACAGCAAATACCAGAATCACACAGCAGCCTCACACTCACATTACCAGCAGACAGGCTTCTGCTTCGTTTTCAAGCATTCCCCCCTGCAATTGACAACGAACAACCCTACAAAGGCCAGCGAGTCAGTACACTCAGCGTCATTACACCCAATATGCCACAGTAACTTTAAACCAGCATCTTTAGCTCACAATGAAGCATCTCCCCTTGCTTCAAGCTATGAAATATGGCAGAGCCCCAGCTCTGGGAGGGGTTGCAGCCCCAGGCTGCTCCAGCAAGCGCGGGCTGGAAACCCCGGGAGCGGTTCCAAGAGCTGCCGGCACACATCAGCTCCTCGGGGGAGAGGCCCGCACTTGGTCCCGCTGCATCCCCGCTCCCTTAGACCTGCGGCAGTGCCCGCTCGGGCTCAGCTTCACAGTCCCTGGGCGGCAAACCAGCTCCCACAGCGACGGGTACGGTCCCGCTAGCGGCCTCCCCGCACCCCGTCC